GTCCAGAGAGAGAAGGTCACAGCCAAGAACTCCCTTGAGTCTCTGGCCTTCAACATGAAGAGCACTGTGGAGGACGAGAAGCTCCAAGACAAGATCAGCCCTGAGGACAAAAAGTCCATCGTAGACAAGTGCAACGAAGTCATTGCCTGGCTGGACAAGAACCAGGTAAAATCACTGTTTACTGAACTATGAGTCTTGATGAGAGACAAGGTTCCTCTTTTGCTCACATTGTGAGAGCAGAGCGGTGTCCTCAATCATGTAAACAATGTGAAATAATGTGAAATCCCCAACGTCCCTTTCACATTATTTTCATTGAATAGACAACAACAATATATTAACAACCCACCCAGTTTTCTGTGACAGTGAATTATTTGTGCTTTCTGTTACCCAGATGGCAGAGAAGGACGAGTACGATCACCAGCAGAAGGAACTGGAGAAGGTGTCCAACCCCATCATCTCCAAACTATACCAGGGAGGTATGCCAGGAGGTATGCCAGGAGGGATGCCAGGAGGGATGCCCGGTGGTTTCCCTGGTGGTTTCCCTGGTGGAGCTGGAGGCGGCTCCTCCTCAGGCCCAACTATCGAGGAAGTCGACTGAAGACTATGCTGACAGTGTCTTTATCTCAGATCCCAACATACACTTGCTGCCTTACAGCTATTTACTTAGCCATAATACACATCCAATAAAAATGAGATCGCAGACTTATTTCGATTTGCATTGTTGCTGTCATGTTTGTTCATAAACTTAACAATTTTAAGCAACTAAAATTGATAGGCATTTCAAATATTCAGTCACATAAGACATACTCAGAGGCTGTTAGTTGTCTTCATTATTTCTGTCACCAATGATGATTTGCATGAAGTATTTAAATCAATAAAGATCACCAATGAGATGCTAGTTGGCATAATGTACTGTTTGTTTCTTGGGAATGTATGTCTTTTAATACCATTACATCTCTAAATAACTCATACACACTTTATTCATTAGTACATAAACTCGGTATTCGCTTTTTGTAGATACAACTGGTATCTGTGAACAGAACCACAAAGGTTTTGATCAATATCTTTTTTCTTGTAAACATATCTTACACACAGGAAGGAACATCAAAAGGTACGATAAAAAAGGTGGTTTTGTAGTGAAGAATATCTTGCAAAACAATCTTTCTTCCGTTGATGTGTGAAAAAAGGATGAAAGCAAGGGCTTATACAGCTATTCCTAAACATTAATTAAAGAACGTATGGATTGTAAAATGTTACTTTTTTGTTTTCAGAGTAATAACAAGGGGCAGTGTTGTTGCTTCTTACCAATGGAATGATTACACAACTATTTGTTTGCCAAAAGCAAACAAGCATAAGACTAAGTGGATGAATATTTAAGTTATGTGTCATCTTGTGTGCTTATCACCAGATGTTCTTTTCCCAGGCCTATCACAGTCATTGGTGTGTGTGTGTGTGTGTGTGTGTGTGTGTGTGTGTGTGTTTGTGGGGGGACTGCCTGCAGTATGGAGCACTACACATGGAACTCAGGGTCAAGTGTGTGTGAGAAACATATAAAAACCAGTGTCCCACACAATTGACAGTCGTGAATCACGATCAAGACGTGGCCATGTTCTTCCTTGTCAGTTGTTTTGCTCTTGTGGTCTCTGCACTGGGTGAGTGACTGGCGGTTTACCAACAGATGCATAATCTGAAGAGCATTTCAATTAGATTGTAAAAGAAACAATGCCCAGTATTCGTGGTATATATGCCCTGTTGTGGGACAAGCAGATACATTTTCAATTGTGTGATTTGGCCTCAGGGTGTGGAGTACCTTCTATCAGGCCCCAAGTGAGTGGATACAACAAGATTGTAAATGGGCAGAATGCGGTGTCTGGGTCCTGGCCTTGGCAGGTTTCTCTTCAGGTAACATAAGTTATGGACCTTCCAATCGCTACAATCTCAACCCCTTGTATAATTCAGAAAATCTCATAAAGAATATGCATGTTCTCACTTCTAGGATGGTAGTGGATTCCACTTCTGTGGAGGATCCCTGATCAACCAGTACTGGGTTGTCACTGCCGCTCACTGCCGTGTGTCGTAAGTAATGTTGAGTTGTCCCACATCCGCATGAGCAAAAGCCCAACATTGCCATCTCTGGGATCTCTCCTCTGTCTGTTTTTGTTCCCACCAGTTCTAGAAGCCACCATGTTATCCTGGGAGAACATGATCGTCAGAGCAATAGTGAGCAAATTCAGGTCAAGTCAATTTCCAGGGTAAGCAACGCCATAACACATACAAGCTTTCTTTTACTTCAAAAGAATTAGATTCTTACATTGAATTAGACATTTCCTGGGTAGATTTGTCATTACAAAATGACATTATATTTGCTAATGATATATGCTCACGTCTCCATCCAGGCCATCACTCACCCGTACTACAACGCCCAGAACTTCAACAATGACATCACCCTCCTGAAGCTGTCGTCCCCAGTGCAGATGTCATCCCGTGTGTCTCCTGTGTGCCTGGCCTCCTCCAGCATCAACATCCCCTATGGAACCACATGTGTCACCACTGGGTGGGGCAGGACCGGCCAAACCTGTGAGTGAGCGATTACTTTATAAGTCTTACACACAGGGTAAATACACAAACAGATGTTCCATTTCCACAAAGGAAAACTATAAAGGCACTGCTGAATATCCACCGTACTTCCTTAAGAACAATGTAGAATATTTATTTATGCAGCTATAGCCTCACTTCCATTTCTTCTCCGTTCTCAGCAAGCCCCCGCTACCTCCAGCAGACTGCCCTGCCTCTGCTCACCCCTGATCAGTGCAAGCAGTACTGGGGTTACAACAGAATCAGTGATGCCATGATCTGTGCTGGTGCTTCTGGAGTGTCTTCCTGTCAGGTAACAACCATTTCAACGCCTGAAATGCAGTTGTTTTTTTATTCTTCAAAACAACAATTGAACAACAAATCAAGTTGGTTATAAACCAATTATTCATTATGAATTAATGATGACATTTTATACATTTCCAAATGACAAATTATTTGCTGATGTATCACAAATGTAAGTCATCCTTAGGCCTTAGTAGTTAATGATTAACAAATGATAAAGGATAAAGAAGGTCGTCCTTTAACCACAAGGTTGGTGGTTCGATCTCGGGCTCATCCTGTCTGCATGTCTCAAGTGTCCTTGAGCTCGATATTGAACCCAAAGTTGCTCCCCAGGCGCTTTACAGCACCTGCTGCTCCTAATGCTTAGCATGGGTTAAATGCAGAGGTACAATTTCATGTATGGACTTGTAAATCTGACCATTGAATTTAAAGTTAGTGTCACTAAAAAGTGTTTTATCTTCTCACTCAACAATGTTCTTGCTGCATATCTGTTTCCTGTTTTTGTGTTGATTTTAGAGTAACGCAACGCCAGCCCGCATCCTGTATAAAGCTGTACAGAACCTAATCTCAATGCATTAATATCAAGCAATGTCAATTTTATAATATTAGAGTACCCCATGCATGCTCTTAAAAGCCATTTAGATACACATTTGTCTCTTTTCAGGGGGACTCTGGTGGCCCTCTGGTCTGTGAGAACAGTGGAGCGTGGTCCCTTGTGGGTATCGTGTCCTGGGGTACCTCGAACTGCAACGTGCGCACCCCTGCAGTGTATGCTCGTGTGTCCTACCTACGAAGCTGGATCGACCAGACTGTTGCTTCCAACTAACATGCATACAAAGAAAATCGTCAATGCAGATGTGCATCATCCTGCTAATCACAGTGATCAATGAGTGATTCTACGCAGCATCAATATAAGCTGTCACAAGGATCCTACTATTTCTATTGGCTTTGAATGGTAGCAAACATGTACTGCTTTGTTTGGTGTATGTGTGAGAAATGATCCATAAAATATATAACTTTTAATAACACCAGTGTTGGTTTTCATGTTTTACATTCATGTCAGCCTGATAAGATGGCGTGTTGCAAATTCTGTGTGTAGTGTGTGTGTGTGTGTGTGTGTGTAGGACAAGTGCATGTGTGATTGGGGGGGGAAGGTGAAAAGCAGGACTGTGCAGCACATAACAAAGATGCTACAAAAAACAAATTAAAAGCAGTTTAGGAGGTTTTGAGTTAGATAGCCACCGGGGGTTTGAAAAAAATAACTTTTCGTTTAAGAAATATAAAACATAAGAGTCTTGCAATAAATAATACCCTCGTAAAGCTAACTTCAACTTCTATTGAGAATGAATGATGCTCATTCAGCTCACGTAATTTTCAGATCATACGGTCCTGTTGGATTGCATTACATTCTATGGTGTTCTTGTTATTTTGTCCACTCCCTGTCCTTGGCTTGATGCCTTTTTGCAAGATCATGACAACAGAAGAAGTTTTGTTTCATTGGCTGCTGCTTGAACTGAGAAGGAGGAATAATCAAAGACAGATTGAGTAAAGTCAGAACCAGATAGAGATCAACGTAGAATAAAGACAGACTCTTGCTGCACCAGGAAAATGCTGACTGGTAAGATACTTTCATATAATTGCATTGCTTTTAGATTGCATTAACAGAAAAGGTGGTCTAATATAATTTCTTACCAAACGGATCTGAAATAAGGATGCATAAACCATATTTTTTAGTTAATAGGTAATATTTTCTGGGCACCACAGCAATTGAGTGCAATGGGTTAAAAGTTAACTTGCAATTTAGTAGAAAGTACTATATGACTAATTTATCCAACTTAAGACTAAAGTGGGAGTTATTATAGAATATGTACCAGGACGGAAGCATTCTAACACAAAATAATAAAAACTACCAACCAGCATACAGTCAATAAAGACAGATCATTTACGCTTTCTGGTTATAAAAGTAATTAAATGATTCTGTTTCTCACTGCATATTGCAGATTGTGTTAAAGATACTAATGTCTGTATTTTCACATTTATTTTTGTATTCTATAGATAACATCACGAACATCACCACTGCGCCTCAACCAGATGGATTAGATGGGGTTTTAAAAACTGTGCAAATGGTGGTCCTGGTCCTCCACTGCGTGATATTTATGGCTGGGACTCTGGGCAACGGTGTGGTCATCTATGTGACAGGCTGCAGGATGAAGAGAACAGTCCACTCAGTGTGGTTTCTCAACTTGGCTCTGGCTGACTTCCTCTTTACAGCCTTCCTGATTTTCAAGATCATTACTGTCTCTCAGGAACAACAATGGCAATTTGGAAAATTCATGTGCAAGCTCTTCCACTTTGTGAGTTTAGTCAACATGTTTGCAAGTATCTTTCTTCTGACAGCCATAAGTCTGGACCGTTGCCTGTCGATCTGGGTGGTGGTGTGGGCACACAACAAGCGCACCGTTCGCAAAGCCCAGGTCATATGCGTTGTCATCTGGATGACTGCTGCAGTCTGCAGCACCCCTGATGCCACCTTTCAGCAGTTTGAGGTCAACGAGGGGAAGATTTACTGTTCTTATTTTGAACCCACAACACCATTTTGGAGTCTCTACATGTTTCGCTTTGTCATGGGCTTCCTCATCCCTTTCCTGGTAATATTGGTCTCTAATGTGGCCATAGGTGTTCGTACAGGGCGCATGCAGACGACCAGGAAACAGAGATCTCGCCGAATCATTGTCGCTATCAATGTGGCATTCTTCATCTGCTGGTTGCCATTACACATTCATTATATAATAGAATTAAATGCCCAGACTAACCCAGATCTCTGGAAGATTGTTGAAATTGGGCGTCCTCTGGTTCATAGCCTCGCTTTTTTGAACAGCTGCCTGAACCCCATTCTCTATGTTTTCATGTGTGATGAATTCCAGAAGAAGCTCAAGCAGTCCATATGCTTTGTCCTAGAGAGTGCCCTGGCAGAGGACCACTTGTCACTCATGTCTTCTCGCAGCTTGTCGCCACACTTTTCTCGGGTAACCCGGAAGTCTGACTCTACTGCACCCGTGGAGAGGCAAGGCACATCCACTTCTTTGAACTCAGAAGAAAGCAAAGTGGGCATCACTGTGGAGAGAGAGAGAGAGACGGGCAGCACTGATTAGGACTGCCATCACAGGACGTGTAAATCTAATGTGTCCACATCAAACTTAGGGAGAAAAGAGCACAAACATGTTTGTTACAAATAACATGTTGAATTGATTTGGTCAGTACATCTGTGAATAGAAAAAAAATTGTTTAAATATTTGCTATGTGTGATTTCAGTGGGTTTATTTTGGATTACAGCCACTAATACTCACAATCAGGTGTCTACAATTATGGTTGATAAAACATCCTCATTGACTCCCTTGTTACTTATGTTGCACCCGT